TCTGTTAAATCTCAAAAGAAAATGATGTAAATTGGTTATTTCACTATTTTTCAATCATATATTAACTTCTAAATTGTTTAAATTATTCATTGTTGGGTCCCTTTTTTTTTGTTTTGTTTAATAACCCTTGTTTGTTCATTAAGAAGATGAAGATGAAAATGAATTAAGTTTTTTTAGAAACTTGCCTTTGTGGAATGCTTTTGAAAGTTTACTAAGAAATTGAGAATAAATCGGTCAGATAATTGCTCTTTTTTCACCGGGTCACCTTGAATTCAAATGGTGAGTTGCGAAAATTGAAAGTTTGGGATGCAGAGTCCAAATTTGTTATAAACTTATAGTTGAGAGGTGCAAAGTGCAATTAATCTTTTCTTAGATAGGTTTTTTTTTTTTAAAAAAAATTTTAACATAGGAACTCTTATTTACAATTTCTCCTAGCATACTAAAAAATGCATTTTGAGACGTAAAATCTTGATTTTCTCACATAGTTACTCAAAGTTTTGACTTGTTCTAAAAACAATAATAATATATGTTCAAAATCTTCGCAAATCTCTCAAAGTTTTGACGTGTTCTAAAACAATGCTGTAATATATGGTCCAAAATCTTCGCGAATAGTTGCCAGAGGATTCTGTCTCCATGTGTTAAATTTTTTTTTTTTTTTTTTTTTACAGGTCCATGTTGTTAAAATTGACAGCGTAGTTGAATAGGGTTTCAGAGAACTAGATCCTGTGAAAGAGTTATGGTTTGGATAGGATCTAATTTTTTATAATTCATATCCAAATTCATACTCAAACCATATTCAGACCCATGTATATATAATTAAATTCTATATATATATTAGTAAATTCATAAAATATTCTAATATTCTATGGTCATTGAATCGAATACAGTAAGATTTCATGATTGTTTTCTTTTTTCAAACTAATTTTAGTTGTCGCTATAATTAGTACAAAATTTTTCAGAAAAAGGAGAAAAAGTAAAAGCAAATAAATTAAAGATTTGACGTAAATATAGTTGAAGTTTTCAAAATAAATCTAAGCAGTCGATAATAGTTATTTTTTGAGTTCATAATATTGCATTCAACTTCTTGAATATTAATTTAATTATTTGAAAATAAAAATCGGATGGTGTTATACTTATTGAAATCTATATATTTTTAATATATTTTTACTTTATAGTGTATTTTGGAAAAATACAGCGGTACCCATTGAATACCTAGATCTAGGAGGGTTTGGGTTTGGACTTATTTTTCAGACCCATAAGGATCTGGGTCTGGGTCTGAATCCAACAAAATTAATAGGTCTGGATCTAAATCAAAAGGATCCAATCCATTTCCTATCCATTGACATGTCTAGTCAAGTATAATTAAAAAAAAAAAAAACTTAGGAAATTGCTTGAGGGCTTGTCCTTACCAATTTGGGCTAATTCCTTAGAATATTACCCAAAAATAAAAAAATCTAGCAAAGGTGACGCTGACAAAGTCAATCTGTAAAACTATACCCACCGTGTTGACAGCAGGCAACAATATTATGTTTTTATTTTTATTTTTATTTTTTTTCATAAAAGTTCAGCAGCCCTTTTCTTCAAAAGAAAATTTCTGGGCCGCTGTTTCGGTCATACTTGACTGTTATTGACCTTTAATTTGCTGAACATGTTTACCAACTAATGGGCTTTAATTATTCAATGTGAAGGGTCAGATTTTCATATAATGAAATTGGCAATTGACAGAAAACAAGGACATGAGAAACGAGGGAAATTTACAGATTTTAATCTTGATAATGAAAATTTCACACAAGCCTCCCTAGCGAAGAATTAGACCAAGAAAATGAGAAAAAAAAAAAAAAGGACTGATAACAATTTCAAGAACGTGAAAATCCACTAAATATTCAAGCATGTTCAAGAACATCTATTTCTTCTTTCTCTTTTTTGAAAATAAACATTAACCATGACAAATTAGATACACTAAATTACAGCATGAATCCAGACTACAATATTTTTTTTCGTTGGCTTAAAAAATTACCACGGCATTGGATTTGGGACTGGTTTTCTTTTGCAAAGATTAGAAAATTTCCGAGAATTCATCCAGAAAAAGCACACCATGAGTCCATGACTGAAGTTATGTGACTTTTGCAACTTATGGACCCGCCGGCGGAGAAAAACGCCATCAAATCCTCGTCATTTTGCAAACGAAAGGTTTCTAACTTAAGGTAGCCGGCAGGCTTAGAAATATTTTCTTTTGACAAAAAAAAAAAAAAAAAAGGCTGCCGTGCTGATTCAGCCCGATGTCTCTTAAGCTTTTATACATTACCATAAAGAGGCAGCCCCAGAAATTAACAAAAATAAAAATATTGTTGCCTGCTGTACTGTGTCAACACGGTAGGCATATTAAACTTTGTCAAAGCCATATTTACCAAATTTTTTTTATTTTTGGTAATATACTAAGGAATTAGCTGTCAATTTGGCTCGTTCAACCTTTATTTTGTATAATAAAATCCTAAATGTAAGTTGTAAATTAAGCCTTTTAAATTTTTACTTCAAGTTAAATTACATTCATAGCATTCTTTTTTGCAATGCTGCCTCATATCTAGAGCTGTTAAACGAACCGAGCTGTTCGGTAGCTCGGTTCGTTTCGGCTCGTTCGTGTTCGTGAAAGGCTCGTTCGAAATTTAAACGAACGAGTTCGAACGAATTTTTTTGTTCGATTAATAATCGAGCGAACACGAGCATGTTCACGAGTTTTAACGAACGTTCGCGAACATGCTAAACGAACGTTCGCGAACACGAACATGTTCGAGTTTTAACGAACGTTCGCGAACATAGACATAATTATCATTTAACAAATTTAGGGTTAATTTTATGGCTGGACTTTTATATTTGGAGGGCAAATTTCTTTGTTTTATTTGTTGTTTTTATGTTAATGTTAGTTATATAGTTAATGAATAATAGAATTTAGTCACTTAGTGCTTTAATTATTTTTTAGAATGATTAATAATTTGCATGGCATATTTAAGGCATAAAATAATTTGGATTCGAGCATTTCGAACATGTTCGCGAACGGCTCGTTTATGTTAAACGAGCCGAACTCGAACTCGAACACGAATTTTACTTAACGAACCGAACACGAACACATGTTTGAAGTTCGAAAATTAACGAACGAACACGAACGTTGTTCGAACTGCTTAACGAACAGAGCTCAAACATGAGATACTCGGTTCGATTCGGTTCGTTTACAGCTCTACTCATATCTATCAACGTATTGTATTGCAGATTAAGTTTTTTTTTTATTATTATTTTTTTTATCGGCAGTGAGTATCTGGGTCCGTAAACTGGTTACCGTACGACCCAACTAATCCCATTACGAGCTGAGAGAGGCCTGCCCCAAACATCACCAGCCACGATAGAACCGGGATTCGATCCCGGGACGTGACTCTCCCCCAACTGGAACTACAACCACGGGACCAAACCCGGAGGGGCTACAATGTGGGACTACAACGTGGATTAAGTTTTTTTTATTGAGTATATAATTAGATATTATTTACTGTAAAACTATATGATATTATTTTGCACAAGATAAGTCTGATGAATCCATGTGATGTGAACCCAATGCATTGACCTGACTTTGGGGGTTCCTATCCCTTTAGACCAATCTGATCGAATAAAGTTCGCCAGAGTAAGAAATTTGTTAGACAGTTCCTACAAATCATTGCCCATCCCACACGCAATAGAGCTTACCATATAGTAAATATGCTGTGATTAGTTCTCTTCTTTTTTTTTTTTTTTTTCCATTCCTAATGGTTGAATACTTAAATATAGCATTGGGTATTTAATAGTTAATAATAATAATAAGAAGAAGAAGAAGAAGGATATAAAATTGGATTGTCTTGGTACCTAAATATTTTGGATTAATTCACTTTACTCTCCTTACATTTTCAAGGATTTTCTTGCATCGTTAAGTTTTACGTTACATTCCAAATTCAATACTGTCATGTTGCCCCTTAACTTTATCTTTTGAACGTTAATGTTTTCGACTCATCCCATATTACTACCGTCTCATATATAATGAGTGAAAGAATATGACAACTACGTTTCTTTCTCAATGCTGCAAATTGTCATAAATCCTCCTAAGTTTGAAAAAAAAAAAGAGAGGATCATTTGGATAAATTTATGGTCCTAAGTAGGGGTGGCAATGGGGCGTTGCCCCGCGGGGTACCCGTGGAGTTAAAAAAAGTTATTATATAATTTCATTATAATTAAATTTGAACAAATAATCAAGTATTAAAATGTCAACATATTATCAAATTATTATTCATTGTAACTTCACAATTGAAACTCATAAAAATAATTAAACAAAAGTTATTTGAATATAATCTAATATGATTAAAATAATCAAGTTTTTACTTTTGATACAAATACAAATACTAAAATTATTGTATTTTTTTTAGAAAAAAGTCCTATTGTATTAAGTGTAGTTAGGAATTTAATATAAATATATTAATAAATTTAGTATAAATAATTAATATTTTTTATTAATAGACATGTATAATTAATAGTATAATTGATAATATCATTATATAATTATGCACATATATATATCTTTTTTTTTAAAACGGATGACAGGGCGAGGCGGGCCTAGCCCGTTTTTAACCCCCCCCCTGGCGGGGCACCTCCCTAGTTCTAAGTGTCGCATTAAAAGTTCAGAATGCAATATGCAAATTAATGAAATTCTGAAGGGTGCAAAGGGTAATATGTTAGTTGTTCGAATGATCGAAGACTAAGTAAAGCACTCATCTGTGCGTTTCCCGAGCATCAGAGTCAATCAACTCATTTATGCTCAGGTATGCATCTTCTTCATTGTCTCTGAAATCTGCAGCTTTGTAATGGATCATGGAGCATCTTCCAAAAGATTGTAGTACAATTTTGTCAGTCTTTTTTGTGCTCACAACTCTGTTTGGCCTAACTTTTTCCGCCACCGGATTTCACACAGTTTTTCCAAATAACGCAATTACTCAAAGAACAGCAAATACCAGGCCAATTTGAACACCCTTCTTTCATCCCTTTCTACTAATGTCAGTCCCTATGGATTCTACAATTCCTCGGTCGGCGAAGATCCTGACAGAACATATGCACTTGTGCTCTGCAGAGGAGATGCTAGTTTCCAAGATTGTGAAACCTGTGTTAATGATTCTGCTAATATGATCCTACAATTGTGTCCCAATCAAAAGGAGGCAATTGGATGGTATACTATTTGCATGATAAGGTACTCAAACAAGAACTTTTTTGGTAACATGAGTACTAGACCGAATTTCAATCTTCAGAGCTCAGTGGTTCCTCCAAACCTGAGTATATTCAATCAGGACCTGAGTAATTTGACAAACAGCCTTAGAGATCAAACGGTTGGAGGTTTTTCACTCAAGTTTGCTGCAGGGACAAGAAAGAGTGATAGCAATATCACCATCTATGCATTGATGCAATGCACACCTGACATAGATGGTGGAGATTGCAATCTTTGCCTTGGATGGGCTTTACAGGTTCTGTCACAATGCTGTTATGGTACAGAGGGGGCCAGGGTCGTTGGGCCAAGCTGTAGTTTTTGGTATGAGGTATTCCCCTTCTACAATGAACGGGTGATTCTTTCAAGGCCACCGCCACCGCCATCATTGCGCCCTCCCTAGTACCATCTCCACCCAAACCAGCACAAAAGGTATCAAAAACTGTCACCTAGCTACTTATCTACAAAAATATCAGCTCTTTCTAGCTCATTTTTCAACTGATTCTCTTATTGTGTGTAAAGATGTGGTGGAGTGGGTATTGAGGATTTAACTAGAGAATGAGGCATTTCTTACATACCACAAACAAATCATATAATACTTTTTTGATGCTCATTGCTTGTCTAAGAATGGCAAAATCTTGCTTCTGCAGGAAAGCATGGCAACAGCACAACCCTTATTATCATTGGTGTTGTAGGTGGAATAGCTCTGGGACTACTCAGTTTTTGCATTTTCTCCTTCAGAAGAAAATGGCGAAACAGAAGGAAAGGAGAGAAATTTCAGGGTAAATTCAAGTAAAGATTTTGTCACCAGCTGCAAGCTACTATTATTTGCTTTGGACATTCAAAGTTCATAGCTGTAAAGTACTTAGTTTTTGGCTATATTTTTCCATGCTGTCTCTGCTTGAACATTCAATTTCAAGATCCATCATGATTGAATTTTGTCTGCGTGAATCCAAGGAAATCAGAAACAAGAATATTCAAAGTAAAATATTGACTTATTTTCTTGGGCATCATGCATCCATTGTACAGTATATTACAGATTTGTATAAGTGCGTCCATTGGGCAACGCTGAAGCTAATTTCAGTATTCTCTGGTTTTCGATTGTGAAGGTTTGGAAGAAGGTGACGGGGTAAAAGCAATGCAGTATGATTTTGGCATAATTAGTGCAGCAACAAATAACTTTTCAAGTACTAACTTGCTGGGGAAAGGAGGATTTGGTGCTGTTTACAAGGTGAATAATCAAAAGATCTGATCATTACTTGTGAGCAATCAAAAGAGCCAATATGACCATCTTATTGATTCGAAGTTTGAATTCACTCATGCTGGTTTGGCTCTTTTGCCCCAATTTATGCAGAAAATTTTCAGACTGCTACATGTCTACACTTTTTAGGAGCTTAGACAGTTATTTCAGCGGTCAAAAACTTTGGGATGGACGTATTCTGGTGATGGTGTAGAAGATTTTGCCCAGACAGAAGTATATATCAAAATCATTGGCTAATTCTGTCCTAAACAGTCATCATAACACTCTACAGTTCCAAAGTTCAGATAGTAGAAGAGTAATTCACTAGGAAGATATAATTCTAGATAGAGTTGTTGCCCTATGGACATGCTGTAAAATTGGTGTTGTAAATACTGCTTAAATTAAATTTTTTCCTGCCAGATTGCATTGAGTCATGGTTGCAATCACTGTAGAGTTCGTTGGACACTCGTTAATTGAAGCACAAGTGCTATTTTTTTTTAATAAAATGAAGCAACTTGAGAAACAGGCTGAACAAGAATGATAATAAATGCAAATGTTATATGACACGTCGGGTGTCTTAATAGGTGCCTCATGGTCACTCGTTAGAAAGCTCTTAAAACTGAAAAGATTTTTGTTAATTGTTGTCATGTCAATTTATCCAATATATGCTTCAGGGTACTCTCTCGGATGGAAAGGAGATTGCTGTAAAAAGGCTGTCCAAGGGATCAGGACAAGGTGACCAAGAATTCAGGAATGAGGTCTTGTTAGTGGCAAAGCTCCAACACAAAAGTTTAGTTAGATTGTTGGGTTTCAGCCTGAAATATGAAGAAAGACTGCTGGTCTATGAATTCATGTCAAATGGGAGCCTTGACAAATTCCTCTTTGGTATGTTTTTCTGCCTAAACTTTTCTTTATTTCTCAATCTGTCTTTTTTTCCCCTCCTTTTGTTGGTTGCATTAAGTGCATCCACTGCCTAGCTACATCAGTCACTATATTGTTTGTCTAGATCAAATGGTAGATAATAGACTATCTGTACATCAAGTAGACAAAAATGACTTGTCTGAAACATCAAAAAGGGCAAAGAACCTTCTTCACATAAACCATTTTTGTTTTTTTTTGTTATACATGCATATATAATCCCCAAGGACTATTGATTGACAAAATTTGAAAAAAAAAATTATCATTTGGGATCAAAAGAAATTTGAGAAGCTAACCATTTCCTTCTTTTTTTTTTTGGGTGTCATGTGTTAACAAGTTGTTCTGTGATTTGCTTTGTTGAGTCAAATTTAGATTCAGCAAAGAGGTCATTGTTGGATTGGGAACAACGCCACAAAATCATAGAGAGTGTTGCTAAGGGACTTCTTTATCTCCATGAAGATTCACGACTAAAGATTATTCATCGTGACCTAAAAGCCAGTAATATTCTCTTGGATGAAGACATGAATGCCAAAATTTCAGATTTTGGAATGGCCAAGTTGTTCCAGCTCCATGAGAGTGTAGCCGAAACCAATAGAGTTGTGGGGACCTAGTAAGTACTTTTGTATATATGTGTATTTAAACTGGTAATACAATATAATAGGCAACCACTATAATTTTTGGGTTAATTATTAAGTTCTTAAACGACTAAACGAAAATTAGTCAATGGGTATTCTCTCTTAACAAAATTAAAATCAATTGTCTCATTTAGAGAGCGTAACTCTATTCCGTTTGATTGAAGATTAATCGGAAAATTGTTTGATGTTACATCTTTATTATAATACTTATGAGTCGTGGAGTCTGTGAGATAAAAAGATGATGGAAAAAAATTGAAAGAAGTAATACAAAAAATTTCCAAATGATGAATGACATAGATTGAAAACTTTAATCATCCTGTACAAATTTTGCCCCTAAATAAACATGTAACCAATCTTATCAAGTTCATATTCTGATATGTATCAGTTTTGTGATTGTGCTTTGAGTTTGTATTTTGACAGCTATTACAATGATCATTTGCAGTGGGTATATGGCACCGGAGTATGCACTGCAAGGCATATGTTCAGACAAGGCAGATGTCTTCAGCTATGGAGTGCTGGTTTTGGAAATCATAAGTGGTCAAAAGAACCGTTATGTCCAACAAGGCCAGAATGTGGAGGACCTTCTCAGCATTGTAAGTATGACTAGAAAAATAGTTCTAAAGCCTAAACAAACTTAAAAAAAAAGCTGCAGTATTGGTGCTTCTAACGTTTTCACCTTGTCCTACTTAGCATTAGACTATTATCCTATAGTATCTCAAGTCTCAATTTCAACTTAATTGATTTTTATATTTGTAGATCAAGTTAAATTTGAGCAATTAACATCTACAAAAGTTGTGTAAGTTGCATAAGCATGAAGAGACCAATAAGTGTACAAGATTAAACTCATTGATACTCGAAAATACATTGAATACAATGTAAATTTTCGTTTTAAAGCCCCTCCCCCTTCCCCTCTCTTTATTTTCACTAAATTTTCTTATTTGTTTTTTGGACTCATCCAAGTCTAGCTTTTCTTGTTTCATCCAAGAGTAATTAATTAAGTGTAGACGAAATAACTAGGGACAAAAACTGCGAAAAAATATTGTACAAGAAGTATGGTCAAATACAAGGACTAAATTTTCCACTTTTTGTATACCATATTATGCCATTTAGGTTTGGAAAAACTGGATTAAAGGAACAGCTTCAAATATAATAGATTCAACTCTCAAGGCTGGCTCAGCTCCGATAGAAGCTATAGTGAGGTGCATACACATTGGCTTGTTGTGTGTTCAAGATGGTGTAGCTAGTAGACCAACCATGGCTTCAGTTGTATTCATGCTCCATAGCTTATCTACTAGTCTGCCAATGCCTTCTGAGCCTGCATATTTTTCACGTAGCACCAGCATTGCTTCAAACAATCAGCCTCAGCAGGCTCTTGAAGATTCGAAAGCAAAAAGATCAGGTCAAATTCAACCTGCAGGAGGAGCTGCTACTAACTATTCCTTAAATGAAGCATCAATAAGTGAGTTTGATCCTCGATGATATTATATTAGAGGATGGAATCTGCAAACGGCTGCATTAGAGCTTAGGATATTGTTCTGGTGTATTTGGTAGTACATGTTTTTTTGTTTTTTCATTAGGACAGAAGTAGTTTGATAGAAGGCTCAAACAAAAAGAAAAAAATCCATGTACAAACCATCTAACAATGCATTTATTTCCACATAAACAACGTGGATTTGTTATGATTCCCAACTCACTGTTATAGTAATATCATTCCAATTTGGTCTAAAAATTCGTGAAAGTTTCTTATGACTTTTAGTTGAAAGTGGTGCATTTTATACCGTTTGAAAAACACTATAACAAAGTTTCAGCTTTTGAGAATATCCCATAGTTCATGTTTGGCGATCCTAAATTTTTGAATTCATTTTTGGTTTATTTACAAGAGAATGAGGCTGTACATCAGCGCAGATATGACAGTCAAATCCTGATATATTTCTTAGGAAAGAGTTGCTTTATCACTTAAGCAATCCCTTATTTAGTATCTAAATAGCTTTTCGATTAAGAAAATTTTTTTTTTCTACTGAACCATAAGTTTTGCACATCTTGGCTTTTTTTTTTTTTTTTTTAAATTTCAAAAATTACAAAAATAGATGTCATTTCCTTCATTTTTCACTTCACATGATATCAAACCACAGGGGCGTTAAATGGCCATTTTCAAAAAAATTCAGAGATTATCTAATAATAAATCAAACCAAAGGGGATAAAGTGTAGTTTACCCTTGTTTTAGCCAATAGTTAATGGGCACTTCAAGTTAGTGTACTTCAATACTATTCTCTCTTTGATGATCATTCTTAATCTACGCTCTGCAGACTTCAAAGTCAAATTTTGAATCCAATTCCCACAAATGAGAACATGCAACATTAATCAGCTGGATTAAAAACTTAATCAACTAGTGCAAGAAGTTAAAAATTGAGGTCAACAATGTCAGTGCCAGGAAACATCTTCCACATTGCCGGCCTTGTTGTACTCAGCAAATTTTGTGTTCATGTAATCTTCTGTTTAAATAATGAGGGAATCCATTGATTAATGTATCTGAATTAAACTGCTAAATTTCATCGACAGTTCAACACGTTCCAGTCCTAAGTAGTCCTATATCAATCCTAAATTCTATCGAAAGGTTAATATTTTTAGCAAAATTTCAAGAATGTCAAATAATGAGCCAATGTTTCCTGGCCATTTCTTAGTAAATTAATACCTTCCCCTTGAATGCGTTCTATTTGAGGAAGTCAGTCTTCTGTTTCATTTGTCCTTTAACTAGTGACTGAGTAAAGACTGAAACAGATTCCTAGTTTTTATATTTTGTGAAAATGTAAGCTGCTGTCACAGGTTGGTAATCTGATAAGCACAATAATTATTAAATTAAAGGAAATATAGATTTCAATCTTCCAAATATCCTACATGGTCAAGATTGATCATCTCAGTTTTGTAATTGATCCAAAAAAAAAAAAAAAACAGCTAGCCCTGTTTGATTTCAGATTATGATGTTCACTAGTCAACTAAATTTGGAAGTTTTGTCAAGGGATCACGAGTGATGATTCTTCTTCCATTTTGGCTAGACCTAAGACATTTTTTTTCTTCCCAGTTTTAGATTATAGATCATAGAAATGGGCTATCGGGATGGTTTCTTTCAGTCTTTTACATGCTTACAAACCTTGTTTTCCTATCTGTTTCACAACCAAGCTTCACAGCTTGCTTCTGTTCAAAAGGAGTAGGCAACTACACGGAGAACAACATACCAGGCTAATCTCAAGTCTCTTCTTTCCTCCCTTTCATCCAACATCAACCCGTATGGATTCTACAATTCCTCTTTTGGCCAAGGTCTCGATAGAGTTAATGCAATCGTGCTATGTAGAGGCGATGTTGATCAGGAAATTGTCGTGTTTGTGTACAAAACTCTGCTGGAAAGCTCACACAGTCTGTCCTAATGAAAAGGAGGCAGTTGGTTGGTATGATCAATGCATGTTAAGATATTCGAATAAGTCGATTTTCGGAGTTATGTCTAATCTTCCACCTTTCACTCTTCAGAACCCATTGAATTCTACAAATCCCATTCTGTTTAGTCAGGAGGTTAGCAATTTAGCAACTAGCTTAGAAAACAGAATCTTTTCAGGGAATCCAGACCGGAAATTTGCTGTAGAGAAAAGCAATAACAGCAATGTTGAGACCATATATGCTTTGATGCAGTGCACACCTGATATAGATCCAGGAACTTGTAATTTTTGCCTTAGGTTGACTTCAAATATGATGTCTCAGTGCTGTTCTTGGAGGCAAGGGGCAAGAGTTGTTGGACCAAGTTGTAGTTTCGGTATGAGTTGATCCCTTTTATAATGAGAGTGCCATTCCATCACCACCAGGTCCACCGCCATCCCCACAAGGTAATCAGATGGAAATATTTTCTCTTGTCACTACTTAGCTAAGAAAACTAAGTTTTTGATCTTGTGGTAAATTATTCGAAATATTGTCATGCCTAGGAGAACATGGACTTGTGGACAATAAGGTTATTTTGCATAATCCGACAAATGTGAACTTTAAACCTAAGTTCTGTCTTTCCATCCTCAGCCTAGCCTACTTCAATAACTTTTTCTTTTAATTATCAAATTATGCAAATCCCATACTATTAATGCTGGCTAAGAACACTATTACAAAAAGTAGAAGAGTTAGAACTAGATTTCTAGAATTATTATTGAGCTATTTTATTTGTTGAGTAAGCTATTTACACAATGACAAAATGATAGAAGATTTAGAACTAGCTTTTCTAGCAATGCTATTGAGCTGTTTAACTTGAGAGGTAAAAAACAATCAGCAAAGTGATCAATCTCAATATTAACTTGCTTTTCTTCCTTATGTGTCTTCTTATGAGGAGTGGTCAATCCCAGAAGAGGTTCATTGGTGTTTGGTTTTCAAATTTACTCGTGTTTCCACCTTTTCTTAAGTTGTATTGCCACTTTCTTATAATCTCAACAATGTGCATTTTGGACTAAAAAACTTTTGCTTATTGCTCAAGCTTGACAAAAACTTGTTTCTGCAGGAAAGAAAGGTAACAAGACCTGGATTGTCATCGTTTGTGTCATCGTTGCAGTGGTACTTGTAATACTCAGTGTTTGCATTTTCATCTTCACAAGAAAATGGCAGAAGAGGAAGAAAGCAGCAAAGCTTGAAGGTAGTGAGACTTTTATCTCCTCCACATTAACCTGTATCTACTCTGGTGCAGATTGAAAATGTTCAGTGTTGTAGAAGAGTAAAAGTAGCATCACAACATTGTGTTTTTGAAAGTCACAGGCATTTACATAACTTTAAATTTTCACTCGAGCGCATGAGATTAATTTTAGAGACAGGGTAAGTGTCTATAAAATGTGGGATCGTACGTTCAGGAAAATTGAAGGAAGAGATAAGGACAAGAGCTTTTAGTTTAAGCAAGTTTAAATAATGAAAAGTTCAATCAAGCGTTATGAAGTGTCTGCAACTTTGTAAATGTGTTACAGCTTGTAACATTGTTATGAATTTTCCATAGTAAAATTAGCAGTGCCAAGGTCTGAGGGCAATCAAAGTTATAGATGCGAAGTAGTTACTTCTGTTACATCTATGTTCATAGTTGTCTGCTTGAAAATGACCTATTTAAGTATCCTTATACTATATAAGAATGAGTTTAGGACTTGAATTTCAACCGCAAGGGTGGGTTTTTTTGGAAATGTGAGAGTGTTTGAAGTGCAATTAGAGTATTGAATATAAGTCATTATAACTAATTTAGTTTTGTTGTAATTACTTGGATGTCCTTTTTAAACATTTAAAGCTAGGGGTAAATTTGATATGTGACATTATTTGATATCCGATTAAACATTGGGTACAACTGAATTCAGATTGTTTTAGTGAAATTACATAAAAGCCCTTCTAATCATTTAATTGTATTAACATCTAAGTCTTTTAATTTCTTAAAGCCTCCTTTCTCATCAGTTATTTGCAAAGTTATGATATATAGATGTTAAGACACAATTAATGTTAATTAATAGAGAAGTCTGGTTTTGGCCGTTATCATAGTAACCTCCATCTATTCAAATTCATTTCATTTGCTTATAGGTTTTGTTCCACCACAGTCATGCAGCATATTGAATTCGAATGTTGTTACATTAACTACTCTTCTTCCCTATTTTACAACACCTTTTTTAATAGCTATGTTTTCTTTACCCAATCTACTTTTTTTGTTGTAAAAATCTGTAATATTGCAAGTTGTATATGCAATAATTTTTAATATTTTAATTCAATTGCCCATGTTAGACAAGCTTGATAAGAAAAGAGACCACATTTGTTAATTGTTATTTACGGTTTAAAATAAGTTTATCATCATAAATTTCCCCATTTATAGATAGAATCTACTTCTTTTGTTGTTTTAACTATTAGTTAGGGTAATTTTCAAATCGTTTGCTACTTTATTGACTATTCCATTTAGACAATTTTTCACTTCATCTGATTTGCCAATATGTTTAACTGTCTACTTAAAATTATTTGGCTACAAATCTAAAGTATGTACCTCATTACTTTTAATTATTTTTCTTATATTGAGTGGATTAAGATGCTTTAGTACTTTTTTGAGGTAATTATTCCTCTAAATTAGCATGTTAGTTGTTGTATATCTTTGCAACTAACACAAAACTAATATTTCGTGATTTTAACCCCTATCGAGAATGAGATACTTTGCTATATATCCTAAATCATACAATAAATTATAATTAATTGCTTGCTCAATGTGAAGGCCTCGTGATGATATATGTTCTTGGAATCAATATAAATTCAAGAATTTGGCTTGCAAGAACCGAAATTCCACTAACAATGATTTCTTCAAGTATGCTAATTGTTTAAATCTCACTTATATGACAAGATAATGTGGTGGATGGCCTTCATATCAAGATCAAATTCAAACTAAACAACAAATTTTAATATCCCTAAAGTGCATGAGCAAATATAAATAGGTTTTTATTATACTAGATTAGATGTAAAATAGTTGAGCGTATCTTATAATTATGTTTTATTGCATATTATATTTTTTACTCAATATGTAACTTATGATTTTTTTTATTTAATATCACATAATAAAAATTGTCATACTTCAATCCTTATACTAGAAAATGCCAAATAATAATTATTAACCATCTTTAATTATAGGCACTAAACTCTCACGCGTTGCGTGGGCTTTTCCCCCTAGTAAAGAAATGAAAAAGGAGTTCATTAGTCTGTTCTTCTGTGTGTCTCCAGACTAAGATATTATTGATCATTTAGCGAACAATTCATGTTGATTCTAGCATTCTTTGTTTTATCTTGGTGAAGAATTGGAAGAAATTGATGGGGCAAACAGTACAGTACGACTTTAGCACAATTAGAGCAGCAACAAATAATTTTTCTGCTAATGACTTGCTGGGAAAAGGAGGATTTGGTGCTGTTTACAAGGTACATACCTGCACCAGATCTTTAAAATTTCAAACTGAACACAAAGGCCAAAAGACCAACATGGCCACTAAAGAATTTCTTCAATGTTCTGATGCTTTACAATGGATTAGTTTAGTGAATTGCCCTTGATGAAATTTAAATACTTTGTTATCATGTAACATTGCCAAATTTGTGTCAGGGAACTCTTTCGGATGGACAAATGATAGCTGCAAAAAGATTGTCTAAGGAGTCAGGACAAGGTGAACAAGAATTTAGGAATGAAGTCTTGCTGGTGGCAAAGCTCCAACACAAAAGTCTGGTTAGATTGTTGGGTTTTGTCTGGAAAAAACAGAAAGACTGTTGATTTATGAATTCCTGTCAAATGGGAGCCTTGATAAACTACTTTTTGGTATGTAGTTTTCCTCCTATTGCTGCTATAGACTATAGTCATCATTTTTTTTCTTTTTAAGAGGGTAGTCTAAGATTTAAGATAGTTTGAGGGTTAATTACTTCTTGTTTAATCCATCTTATTTGTCTATGATAAAAATCTTTTCTTGATTTCTCTTTTTGGGTCCAATTTAGATCCTCTGAAGAGCTCAGAACTGGACTGGGATCGGCGCTACAGAATCGTAGAGAGTGTTGCAAAGGGACTTCTTTATCTGCATGAAGATTCTCGATTGAAGATTATTCATCGTGATCTAAAGGCTAGTAATATTCTCTTAGATGAAGATATGAATGCTAAAATCTCAGATTTTGGCATGGCCAGGTTGTTCCATGCAGACGAGAGTGTAGCCAACACCAACAGAATTGCAGGGACCTAGTAAGTGCTAAAATGTTGTTATTTATGAATCTATGAACAATTTTTTGACCATTGAGTAAAAAATTTTATAAATAGCACTCTTCAGAAAGAAGATCACTATATTCACACTAAATAAAGTTATCACATTATTAATTACAGAGTTGTGATTGTTAAGGTCATTTGATGATTCTGAGTTTATAAGGCTATTCATTATCTCTGACAAGAATAACTATGCAGTGGATACATGGCACCAGAATATGCATTGCATGGACTATTTTCAATCAAATCTGATGTCTTCAGCTATGGGTGTTAGTTCTCGAAATAATAAGTGGGCAGAAGAACTCCTATTTCCGGGATGGCCAAACTGTGGAGGACCTTCTAAGTTTTGTAAGTACGCAAAACATTTCAAGCCTAATCAGAACACACAATATTTGCAATGTTCTACTGTCTCCTGTTTGTAGTTCTCTTGCTTTTCCTTACGTCTAACAATTATAACCTCTTAACAGGCTTGGAAAAACTGGCTTGGAGGAACAGCTTTGAAGATAATTGATCCCGCTATCACGGCTAGTTCAGGTTCAATACAGAACATAATCAGATGCATCCACATCGGTTGTTATGCGTTCAAGATGATATAACTAAGAGACCAACTATGGCTTCAGTTGTTCTCATGCTCCAGAGCTTTTCCGTCAGTCTTCCAAAGCCTTCTGAGCCCGCTTTTTTTGCACAGAGTCGCAGCATTGGTTCAGACAAGTCCGATACACCATTGTTATCTGAAGATTCTAGAACAAGAAGTACTGCAACTCCATCACAACCAGCAGTTGCTAGTCAGTCTGTCAATGAAGCATCAATCAGTGATTTAGACCCTCGATGATGGAATATAAGGATGGAATATCTGGAAAGTACAGTCAATTTCCTCTTCTTTTTCGTTTTGTCGGAAGCTGACAAATTTTGAGTTTAGGACATTATTCTTGCGTTTTCTTTGGCTGGTAAAAGAAAGTGATGTAGAGGATCACAAAAGGGTGATCAATGTACAATCTATCTTATGTATTTGCTTGTACTAGCAAACTTGATTGATGAGAGCATGACCTGAGATTGTAAAAGTGTACATAAGTTCTGCACTGTGGATGTCAACTGGAGAACGTATTAGATTTAGATGGCCAAGTGGAAATGAAAAGAAGTTCAAATGGCAAAGTGAATCCCGGCTGCATTGAAATAATAAACTTTGCCTCTTGAAAGTCTGAATGTATGGTTGAGACTCGAAAGACCGAAATATACACCACAGTACAATGGTAAATTTCTAGACAAACTGAATATTTCCACCGGTAGTAATTTTCCTAAAGATTGTACTCAAATTTCATTTGTCTGTTATGTAACTAAAGAAAGAAACTGGTGCTAACTGCCCACCCCAGGCCCAAACAGAACTTGGAACTTGAAATCACAAGTTAGCTCTGAGTGCTAATGGTGCGAGAGCGACAAGAACAACAAAATGAAAGGCCCTTGTATAAACCACCATGAGCAGGCCAAAACTTTGGGCGAGTGCTGTTGCCACAGCATTCACATCACATCACTACTATATTCTCCTTTTCTTCGAACAAGACACTAGCAGAAACTAGAATTACACTTGTTTCTTGAATTGAAGAAACTGCAGAAGCTCTTCACTGACCCAAAAATGCCACAAGGAGGTGCTATTAATCACTGTCATCTTCGTCCTCCTTGGCACCTTGATCCTTGGAAATATGAACTCCAGGCTGAACCACGCGCCGCCGCGTCCTAGATGGTAGAATGTTGTCCAAATCAATCTCAGCAAGTGGATCGTCTGAGAGATCACTGTCAGCATCAGATTCACTTCCAGAGTCACTTGAATCCTGTGACACCTCAACTAATTTTCCTTTACCCTTGTCATCCGTCATAATTCCCTTGCCTTTTCGGTCAACTATCTCAGCATTAGCATCCGAGTCGTCATCATCACTATCTTCCCCTCCATCCTCGTCCTCGTCCTCGTCCTCTTCCTCTTCCTCCTCTGCATCTTCATAGTCTTCTCCATCTTGATCTTCAACTTCATTATCTTCATTTCCCAGTACCTGTTCCACATGGGCACTGTGGTTTTAGTTCCATTAACATCCTTATTCTCTTCAACATCTGGAATCAAAGGGTCATTTCCAATGGAGCGGTCATTGTTTTCAATGGAGAGGTCATTGCCAAGCTTTAGCTTTTTGTTTGGATCATCTGTGTCCTCGTTGTATGTTCCTCGTCCAGAGAGGCAAGTTCAGGGTCTCTTTTAGCAGGCAAAGATCCTTTGTCACTCTTGATCTCTGCAAAATTAAGTAAATCACTTTTCCAGCGAATAATAAGGTTGAACATTAAGCAACAGAATTACTCACATTGATCCAAGGTATTACTATTTACTACATACAAACTTAGCAATTAGCCAAAACAGGGAATATATGGATTGCTGTACAGACATAAATACATCCAAAACATACATACTGCTTGCTTGCTAGTGCTCTCTCTCTCTCTCTCTCCCTCACACACACACACACAGATATGAGACATAAGGATACAAAAGGCAGGAAGATGCACTTTTTCAGGAATGTGCCTAGATAAGCCTATATATATATATGTTCTCAACTTCATTATATCAATGTAGTATCTGGCACAGCACATGACGGGGCCTATCATCTTGCAGACACGATTCCAAATATCACTCAGTCAATTCTTCCAACTAAACTGGAAGAAGTTGGAAGAATTGAACCAAAGGAGGCCAAGTAACAATATAACAAGAAGAAAAAGATGAAGACTATGCCGACAATCACATAAAGTATTAATTTAATCTTCAAAGAGACTAAATGCAATTTGATCGTCCATAGAGAAAAGGCTAAGGCCTTGCTGACTAACCTTCATCACGAATCAATGTGTTATCTGGGTTGGCGAAAGTTGCCATGCCACAGAACTTGTAGAAAAGATGAATCCACGTGCTAATAACACAAAAGGGAAGAAAATTCAAATCAAATACATAGTTATTTAAGTTACAACCTGAATGGGAAATTCACACTTCAATCGTAAGCCAAAACAAATATAATCTTCACTTTCATCTATAAAAGGCAATTAAAGATTAAGTTAAAAAATTATCAAAATGAGGTCCATGTGAAGTAACACAAAGAAGCTACAAAACAAGTCTATGTGTAAGCGAATTAATACTGATTTTCTCAAGTCATATCCATGCATCAAGTAAGTTGTATTTGCGCCCAAATGGAATTGAATATATTCTAACATTGTAAAGATTAATCATTATCTGCAGAGCATGCAGCTTCAATATGAAATCTTGGCATCTTGATTCAGAAATTCAACTGACATGGTACCAAAAACCAGTATTCAATCCCTTGCAACTCCCAAGATGCCTGGAATACATCATTCTGCAACCAGCCTCCATTATCTTCTGCACAGCTAGCATCCTTTCCCTACTTCAGATTTCGAGATATTGCCTCAACCCCAGACAACCCTTTAATGAAATCTTGAACCACCCTATGGTTGTGACAGTCAGTAACAGTTCGAAAAATGTAGCATGCTAAAGACAGAGATGTCTGGCTGTAATTTGTAAATGGTAGATCAACGAAATGCTATCAATAGCAGTTATAAAGTGAATTAAAGGAGTTGGTGTAATGTAATTCATATTAAAAGAATTGCAAGCTGCATCATCTTCTACATTGTGCTGAGAACAAAGCTTGGTGATTCATTTACTATCATATCATTTGGCAAGCCTTCTCCCAATGGCCAATCAACACTTTCAGGATCAAGTTTGAAAAGGCTTTTTCTTGAGAAGATAAAGACTAGCATAACTGGTCAATGTCAAGAATGATTTCAAAGACACAAAAGTTTTAACAAGAGGTGGAAAACAGAACAAGGGATGTGTGGTACATGCAAACTGAAGAAAGAACCGCTTTAAAGCTAAATCCCAATAAAACTGTACAGCTTCACAATTTTTCTGTGGAATTGCAGCCTCAATGAATTAGATCACCCTCTTTATATCATATAGTATGTGCAATATTGATGCTGCAAGCAGTTACTTCCCTACTCAATTTCAGCCAAAAAATCATACTCTAACAAATCCTCTTTTAGACTCTCTTACACCTTATTTCTTCCATAGAAAAATGGTACCCATACCTGGAGGCAGAGCAATTTTCTATAATTTAATCATTCATCATTTCGGATAGCAGACACCTACTTGGAAAGGACTGGTTTACTGTAACAAGTTCTAATTTTCCATTTGTTCTTTGTCAAAGTATATACCAAAAAATCTTAATCAATTCCATAAGCAGCCATTCTTTCCAGAATACCATTATTTCAAAAACGTATTTCTTGTTTTATTACATTGCCCTCTATAGCATTACCAAATCCCGCTTAATCACCTTATAAAATTCATTAAATACTACATATGAATACTCTTTAAATCAAAATCAATACCTATGAACAACTCTAAAATAAAAGATTTATTTACTTTAAAAAAATAAAGAATTCATGAAGGCAATGAAAAAAATTTTCCAGAACAATCCCAGTTAATATATACTAAAGTTAACAAAAAAACAAAGTAAAGAAACCAGAGGACTATGTGTGTGTAACAGAACTCACACGCAAAACACACAAATGCACTTAGAAAATGTGAGCTTGTGTGTGGATATTTGTACATTCTAACTTACAAGATTAGAATGACAAAAAATCGAAGGAAAAAATGGAAAAATTGAAAGATTAAAAAACAAGAATTAACCCGATATACTTACCCAAAAAAATTCACCTGACATCAAGAATCCGGGTAAGATTGAAAGATAAGGAAAAATATTCACCTGATATCAAGAATCCGCCTTGATTTGCCAAGGGAGATATTAACCAATGTTCTTATTCCAAAGCAGCGAAGTTCAACGGTTGTAGCGATGAGTGAAGCGGCGGCGGCGGTGGCGGCGGTGGAGGGCCTCCGAGTAGAGAGTCGAATACTTGGCAGTGTGAACAAGTTAGGGCTATGGGATTGAAAAAAATCGTAGGAAAAAAGTGCGATGATGAATAATTACGTAGCAGTCCCTAAATATTTAGAGATACATTTTAAATCCTCCTGTTGCACTAAAATTTGTCAACTTACCTTAAAATTTATTAAAAGTTCTCCAATGGCTCTAAAATCGATCAAATTACCTTAAAAGTTATTAAAAGGTTTTTTTTGGTCAAATCTATCATGGTGCTAGGATATCAATTATGAAATTTTCAACTGATTATATATATATTAAAACAAACTTACCCTCGAGTATAAAGGGAATTATTTTGGACATGCAAACGTATAAGTTAATTATCAAGCGCATTTTATTCGAAAATTAGTTGGACTTGAACATATCTTGGATCTATTATATTGCCAAATCTCTAAATATAGATAATTTTGTAATAATTTTTTTAACCAACTTAGTTATCAACCTAACTATATATCCTTGCATAGATAATATATATTTTATATGAATTAAATTTCATCGATGGGAATTTTGACTACACGCAGTTGATTATAGTTTACTCTTTATAAAAAATTATTATACATGTAATTAAATACAAAGAATCTTTCAAACTAATGATAAAGGTACACTCGTTGTATGTGCGATGTAGGAACAATCACTTTTTATATGGACGAATTTAGTATAAAATTTTTGTAAACAAAAAAACTTTGATCTTTTGAAAATTTTTTGAATAGAATTTTAATTACTTGGTGAATATATTGCTTATGGTGAAAAATTAGTTGTAATTACATTGATTGACAATATGAGTAACATGTAATCAGATGATAAAGTATAATTAAGTGATTGTGAGGATAGAGTTAAATTATAAAAAGTGATAAAAAAAGTTTACACCAAACAAAATTCTTTCTATATATATAGTATATATGATTCAATAACTATTTGTATGAATAAGCAATTTAAGAAAGAGAGAGAAAGGTGTATATGTGTGTGTGTGTGTGTATATATATATATATATATATATGAGCAAGAATAAAGATGACAACAATGAAAATATATTAAAATATTATGGATGGGGAATTGTAATACTAGCCTGTATTGCAAGGGGTTAACTGCAATTTCGCCTCCAAGAATTTCATCAAATATTATTTTATTTTGTTTTCTTCCCCAGGAACTCCCGCCCAAACCCTCAATACTCTTTCAGTCTCATTCTCTGTCTCTCTCACACAGACACAGACACACACACACACACACACACAAAACTCACGCTCACGCGCACACACTCACAAACGGAGGCTCATTTCTGTGTGATTGAAGGATTATTATTCCATTTTTACTCTTTTATTCGGCCCGGTGAGTTCGAATTTTAAATTTCTAGGGTTTCCGTCCGTAATTTACACTGTCTCTAGCTTATTTTCTAGTTAGAGATGAATTTAAATTGCATTTTGATAGCTCTTTTTTTTTTGGTCGTTTTTGGCAATATGGCCTAAAAGTACTGGTTGCTAATTTAGCCGTTTGAGATGGAGACACTTTACACGAAGTTATACGACAAGTACATTAAACTCAAGGTAATTGTTTTTTATTTTGGTTTTGGATTTAATTTTATGGAAATTTATCCCTTTTTTTTTATGGAATTGTAGAAAGAAAAGGATACGGCGATGGAGAACCTGAACCGCGATCAAGAAAAGAAGTTTATGAATTATGTGATTGGTATGTGTGTAGTATTTCTTTATCTTGATCTTACCTGCTATGTATATACATCTCATTCTATTTTGGGGAATTCATGATTTTGAGGGTTCCTTGTTTTTGGCGGGAGGTTCTCAGGTAGTGTTTTGAAGTTGGAATTTGATAAGAAAAAAGGAACGACGTTCTATAAACAGTTATTTTGTAATTTTATATTTGGTGTAAAGCTCAATTGAGTAATTATTGTATCGGAACATCATGTGGCTTTAATATCTTATTTCAAGCCACATTAGAAGAGGGACATAGGTTGGTCTGCTTAAGAACTGTACATTTTTACTGTTCCCCTTTGGACTACAGCAGTTGTATGCAGAAGTTATGGAAATGAAGCTGTTGCAGGATTTTGGTGGTTTACACAAAACTATGAAAATAAAGCTGTTGCGCACACACACATTATGATAGATAGAGAGAGAGAGAGAGAGTCAGTCTGTGAACTGTGGTAAAAGAAATTTTTAGATATTCGCAGCAATGTAATATAATTGTATGAGATTCAATTTACACAATTTGGCATAGACAATAGACCTACTTTTGAAGGTTTTAATCTTGTTCATCTCCTTGATTCACTAGGCTTCTTCTACTGAGGATTTGAATTTTAGAACTTAGCATAAGAAGAATAGTTATACCTTCTTTTGGGATCAGAAGCACCTAACATGCTCCTTGCACTTTTGTGTGGTCTTTTAACCAACACAGTTTATTCCTCAGTCCTTTCTCAGGAAATAGGATAACTAGTTAAATCCTTCCAGATAAGCACAGGATCTGTCGTTCTTAATTCATTGATATTGAGGAAAACCTAGCTTCAGCATTTTTGTTGCAATTATCTCATTTAATTCTTCTTTCCAGCTATTGTAATATCTGATTTTCTTTCCATATACCTCTAACGTTATAATCAAAGTGTTTGACTCAAGTGGTTGTCTTGATGCAGCTTCAGACGAAATGATAGAGTTCTTAAGAAGTGAAAATGAAAGACTAGGCAACCAAGTCAGCGAGTTAAGAAGTGAAATGGCTTTGTTCAGGCATGTATATCTGCCTCTTTTATTTTGTAGTATCTTCAGAAAACTATATGATGAAGTTGACCTCATTCTTGGCTGCAGATCTACCAAAGATGAAGAATGTATTCAATACAACAAACTGTTGATGGAAGAAAACCAAAATAGTAAGGTCTAAATCAGTATATTATTCATGTGATTGAAGTTCTCTTGAGCGTAGATGATCCTGGGCTTAATGCTTCGTTATGTCCATTTCATTTCACAGTTGGTTGTGGTAGCATTGGCTATGTGACTTCAAAGTTCAGAATTAAGAACTTTTGTTTATTTTGTTTAATGAAAAAACCAAAAAAAAAAAGTATGGCCCAGCTGAGAAGGTGATCTTTCCATGGAAGATTATGTTTCTGTTTTTCTTGCATACACATCCCACGTCCATGATTCTTGAAGCATTTTATACTTGGCATACAGAAGAGACAGCGATGCTTGGCATACAGAATAGACAGCGCTAGGTAATAGTTGATTAACATTCTGGGCCTCATTACCTGATCCACATGCATATCATAGTGAAATGTTTACATATTCATGAGATCCTTGAAGATCTGCTTCATATTTCTTTCCCTATGGAAATGGTACTTTGCAGATGTACTCTTCAACTGAATTTTAAATGGATCTTATTTTAAATGTGTTACTCTTCTTTCACTTAGCCTCTAGAATATTGCAGATAAAAAACTTCAAGAAGAAATTGAGAGGCTTCGTAACCTTCAACGTGAGGGACGCTGCTGCCAAGCTAGGGATGACAAAGTTGGTGATGGAGCTGTTGACATGCCTATGAGTTCTCAGGTGGAATCCTTTTCTTCAGATGGCACGAGTGTTAGAAAGACAAGGAAACGCAGTAGACATTCTCTACATGATAGAGGAGATACAATTACACCATCTGCCACCAAGGAACATGAGCATGAACAGTTGAATGTATTACCAAATAGATCCTGCAAGGAAACTGAAGCCAGTGATACTCCTTCAGACCATTATGATGTAAGCCATCATGAAAACTAAATGTTGGAACCATTTTTCCCTTCATTTCATGGTTTTCTGTGTTGATAATTAATGTAGGTTTTGCAGCTTGCTATCTGCAAAAGGAAGATGAATAATCCAGGTAACCAGTCAAAATATTCACTAGTTATTTCCAACTTTCTTTTCGTCATATGTATCACAACTCTTTTGATGCGGTCTTTTAGGCAGTGATGTGGCTGCCAGTTGCATGTTTCAAGAACTAGTGGAATGGGTTGTTGGCTTGAAGTTGTCCATTATTCCTCAGAGCAGAGACTTCTGCATTTCGGCTCTGCATCCATCAAGTGGTAAGCTTTTTTTTGAAGTTTCTATTCAAGGTCTCTACTTGTACATCACGCTCTTGTTTGAGAATTTGATTGTCATTTGCTCAACATTTATACCTTTGGATAGATTGTTTTTTATGAATTTGAAGCTCGAGATTCTGCCCTTGTTTGCTTCTTGTTGGAATGTTATTTCAATTCATGTCTGAAAATTCAGCTTTACAAAGCTCCAATACACCATTTTCTCCATATTGCTGTTTCTGAAAGGGCATCCTTGCCTCAATAAATTATACTTTATATTCTGATTTGAGTTCATGGTGATATGTGACTCTGTTCAATAATTTTTTTTCCTGCAATTTTGTAGATATCTTCTGAATGATTGTTATATACAAAGGTGGATTGGAAATACTGTGCTTCTTGAAGATACTTAAGAAATAGTAGTTCATTGCTTTTACTTTTTAAGCTAGTAGAATATCTGGTACAACAGATCTTTAGTTTATCTACTATATAGATTGCTCAAATTGAGGAAACCTTGTCTAGGCCATTACCATATTTAACAATTATCAGTAAAGATGGGCAAATAATCTGACGTTTAGATAAAACTTTTGGGGATCTTTTCTAGCAAATTGTCCTTATTTAAATACAGACTATAAAATTACATTCCTTGACTTTTGTTCATTTAGGTTACTCGTTCACTCTGACATGGGTAAACAACTCAAAGGGTGAACCGGAGTTGCTCTATCATGTTTTAGCACTTGGGACCTTTGAAAGAGTGGCACCAGAGTGGATGAGAGATGTCTTGATGTTCAGCATGAGTATGTGCCCTACCTTCTTTCATAGGGTGTCCCGAGTTATACAGCTCAATCACTGACAACTTTTAGCTTCTTTTCTGGTTCTAACTGGAGAAGCGTGGATGTGATCATCCTTCTGTTCTGGAAAGATTTCTAACAAATGGGTGATGCTTTTGTTGATCGGTTGTTATTTTGATCAACTCCCACAAATGGATCTATACCTTTATATCTGATGTGGTGATGTCTTTGGATGAAGTCAGATTGGGCAGGTTCAAACCTGTTCTGGTAATATTTACAGTACTTTCTTTTCTGCTGTTGTAAATTGAGCTATTTGTAATTGGTGACTTTATGTAAATGACTTCATCACTTTGGTAATGGGAGCTGCAGAAGGTGAGTGTTTTCCTTGAGCTTGTAATATGATTGTTAATATTGATGGATCTTCTGGTTCTAGAGAGGTATAAACCAACTTGTGTACCTATTATGCTGTACCTTCAGTTGTCGGACCTCTTATCTTCCGACCTCCCTTTCACCCCATCCCCCCACCTTCCCATCTTTTGCCAATGAAATTAAGGTAAAAGTGAAACTGCCTTTTGCATTCGTAGCTGCTTTTTGTCCTCTTTGCTGTGTGCATGGAAGATGCGTATCATTCTTAGAATTAACATGGAAGGTGGAGCCTTCATCCTCTGTCTAATAAGAGGTGGAACTTTCCTTGTAAGGTTGTTTGCTTTCATTTCTTGTTTTACAGGTCTTTTGCGGCTTGGATTCTGGAATGCTTCTGTAATTCCCTCCAAGCCTTTGTCACTTTCTGTTTCTGTCTCTGTTTGCAAGATGTGTCATTTTCATTCGCTACTTGGACAGTTAATTGTGGTGCATGATCTAATGGAGTCAACAGAGTTAAGTTAGAATTCAGTTACTGGCTTAAAATCCTTGTAGTACTAGCCCTTGTATGCAAGGTCAGGGTTGGGGTTGGCTTTTGCCTAATAGATCTCTCAAGCGATGGCGCTGGGATGCAACAGGTGCTTCCTTGGTATAGTCATGGAAGCTGGCTTTTTGAAGCTTAGTGTTGCATCTGAAGTTGAGTTGAGCTTCAACGTGGAAAACCCAGCTCGAGCGCTACTTTAGCAAGCTTGATTTTGGTTTGAATTTTCTTCTAGCTGAATTTTATAGTCAAATTCGACTTTGGAATGCCAACAAGGTTTCCAAGCTTCATAGACTTAAACTTGAAGAAAAGAAAAGGGTTTAACTAGTCAGCTTTGAGTATTCTTTAAAACTTGATGATGTAATCCGACCTAAGGTAGTAATCTCTGGTTATTGTTAGTTAGGAGAGGTGATGATGAATGAATAATTTTGGTTTACTTGTAATCTGTTCACTTCATGTGAAGAAAATGTTTTCCTAATAACTGTTATTTCTGTCTTTAACATTGACCAATCAAATAATAGCTCTTTTATATTATTTTTCTCTAATTTTCGACGTTATTAGTCTCAAAGGGCACTTTCAATTGGTAGTCGCACGTGAGTTTTTGGCCTAATTATTAATAGACAAGTTTTTTTATTACTTGTTTACAGTAGCTCTCTAAAAACACCATACACATATCAAAAAATTAAAAAATACACAAATTTTATATTTTCTTTCCATCTTTTTCTTCCTCTTTTTCTCCCACCTCATCCCACCACCATCGACCAGCAATCTCCATTTTTCCTCCTCTCTTGGTCCCCTTCCTTCTTTCTTCCCCGCCACCTTCTCCCTCGTCTTACGGCCTTTGGTCACGACGAAAGCCAATCATGGGATCGGATCTAGTCATTGCAACTAGAGATTTGATCGTAGCAACCAAAAGCCCAGGAGGGAGGGGAAGGTGGCGAGGAAAGGGAAGGGATAGGAGGTGAGAGGGACAAAAGAAGAGGGAAAGAGGAAGGAGGAGAAGAGGGAGGGAGGAGGATGGAGAGAGAAAAAGGTGAAAAAAAGGGCTGTTGGTGCCGGTGACGGCGGCCCGCAGTGGGGAGGGAGGAGGAGCACTGGTGGGGTTTGGGAGGGAAGAAGAGGAGGGGAAAACAAAGGAAATAAAATGAAATATTTACACAATCTAAATTTTGTTTTTTGGAAAAATCGTTTAAAACATTACTCACATTTTGTAAAATAATTTTTTTCGTCCCTCACTTTTAAAAGTGTTTTTTGACATCCTTTACAAATTTATATTAATCAAATTTGGTCTCTATCTAGGTTATCGATTAGTTTTTGTCGGAATCCACCGCGTACCTTACACGTGATCATTTTGAAGGGCAAAATTATCAAATTAAAATGTATATAATCCAATTCACATTTCACAAAATGAATTTTTTTGCCCCTCACATTTCACAAAATGAATTGTTTCGTCCCTCACATTTCACAAAATGATTTTTTTCATCTCTCATTGACCATACGTACAAATAGTTTTTTTTTTTTTAAATTCATGTATATATCCATTTGATTTCACCTAAACAGTACGAATGTCTATTTAATTTCACCTAAATAGACTAATTTGTACACATGATATTCAATAGTTATATACATGGGTTTAAATCTAATAATTTTGTTTTAAACTCATATATATAAATATATAGCTATAAATATCTATTTGATTTCACAATGTGAATTTATTCAATATTTGTAGCCTTTTCTCTTTTGGTAATAATTCATTTATTTAATTGTGTAATAAGGTCATCTAATTAATCGGTCCTAATTCTAATTCTACAATAATGTTAACAAATTGCAATTTAAATCTGGAGTTTTTACTCGCCACCTTTAAAATCAACAGTTGAATTTCTTGGCTTGTGATTATTTTAAAATTTGAAAGTGTCAATCATTTATTTCTTTTTGTCATACTTTTCCTTTGTTTATTTTTTGTCCAAATTTAATTCGATATAAATACTTGATATTGTTTATGATTAAATGTCTTCTTTGTTTTCAATTTTCGAGTAAAAAGAAATGAACATGAGTGAAAATCTAATTATTTTTTTAAACCCCTGCATATATCTATTTAATTTCACCTAAACAGGATGTCTAGACGAAATCAAATAGAGACATATTACATGCTATTCATATTGTTCATGTGAAATCAAATATGCAAGGCACGTGGTGGATTTCGATAAAAAACTAGTCGAAAAACTAGATAAAAACCAAATTTGATCAATGTAAATTTATAAGGGACGTAAAAGTATACTTTTAAAAGTGAGGAATGAAAAAAGTTATTTTACAAAATGTGAGGAATGTTTTGAACGATTTTTCCTTTTTTTTTTTTTACAAGATTTATAGTAAAATTTAGTACCCAAAAAACTCACCATCCAAACTTGTGCTTCATCTCCTAAAACATTAATAAGCATAATCAATCATTAGTAGTACATAGATATGCTTAAAAGAGGCTAAAATATTGTTAAAACGCTAATCGTAACCCTCGTAGCTCTACACATGATGTTAGTCATGCTAGTTTTTACTCATTATACAAATGATCCCAAGGTTCACAAATAATGTTGCACTTGTTCCAGAATACAAGCCAAGTACAAAATGGATCCCAAAGTTGACAAAACAATAATAAATAAAAGCCAGATTTTTATTGTGGTCAATCTTTAATGAAGACACAATTACTCGGTATGCAATTTATAATGTAAAAGATAGGGCCACATACGTACTCAGTATGCAAATTAAAGGCATGGTTAGGTACGACATCCAAAGTAATTTGGTTTAAGGATAACTTCTCTTCAAAACCTACCCTTTTCTTGCCCCTAGGACCACCTCTTCATCATTTATTTTAGGGTGGATTTGTTTAACAAGTGCACTTGTTAAGAGGGGCATCAAGTGCTTTTTTTTTTTGAGAATTAGAAAATTGTGTACATGCAAAGGGTAACAGATATGAGCTTGTGCATATAAAAAGATGCATTACGAATAAATTAGGTATGGTAATCAGGTGTTCTAATAACTGAGCTTTTTCTTTTCCATTTTCTTCTCCTGCCAACAAATTTTGATACTTTGCTGAAGCTTCTATGGACTTATTGGAGGCTGCTGTAGTTCTTCACTCATAACCTAATTCTACGCATGACCACTTTACAACATCTATTATAAGCACAAAACCGAATTCTTGCTTGCAAAACTTTATGTAATCTGTAAGAGAAATCTTTAGTAACTTCAACCGCTGACACTACATTTTCAAACATAACAACCACAAAAAAAATACAGGGAAAAAAATTTAGTAATTGCATTGAATTCGCCAAGAAAATCCATTTTTGGAGCAAATGATCACGAAAATTGCTATACAACTCAAAATCACTTGTATACAGGGTTTCTTGAAGATTCCATGGGCTTACCAGAGGATTCTTCACTCATGACAGTGTTATAAAACATGATCACTTGCCATCTATCGTATGAAAAAAAATCTAGAAATCATATTCAATCCATCAAGAAAATCCATTGTTGGAGCAAATCATCAAGAAAACTGCTAGTACAACTCAAAAACCACTCATCTAAACTACAACAATTAGCAAATCAAAACGGAGAAAAAAAGTAAAAAAAAAAAAAAAAAAAAAAATTCTGGCAGATGATGCCTTGCCTTCAAAAGCAACAGTCACAATCAAACGGGCACAAAGGAGTACCTCCAGCATCCGCCCTCCCAATCCCCAACTCCTCTTCAGTATATATAGCTAGACCATCTCCGGTCTTCTTCCTCAGCCTCCGCCCAGCTCCTCCTGCTGCAGCTGCTGGTGGGTCACTCCCACCATTTTCCCTTCTAGAACCATTTTTGCTTGTATTCCTCTTACCAGTATTATTCTTCTTTGTCATCATTTTATCGTGATCCGACTCTTTAGCTGGCTTCTTGGATGTGGGCTTCTGATTATCTGATTTCTTGCTTTGCTTCTTCTTTGAAGCGAAAATCTCATCAATCTCATCCCTGGTTCTTTTCGTGGGATGCTGCTTTTTCTGCTCTTGTACTTCCACATCAGCGGCAGCACCAGCAGCTGAAACTGATGATTCTACAGCTGATTTTGTAGCATTCTTTTTGTTTTTGGGCATTGCCACCCTGGAAGGCGGAAAAGATGAGCGTTTGAATTGATGAACCCTAATAAGGTAAAACCCCAATTTGCAGAGTTGGGGAAATTGGGATAACGGAAAAGGTAATTGTATAACTTTGATTTTCACTCAAACCTTTAATGAAGTCCTGAACCAGCCTATGGTTGTGATCAGTCAGTAACAGTTTGAAAAATGTAGCATGCTAAAGATAGAGATGTCTGGCTGTAATTTGTAAATGGTAGGTCAACAAAAAGCTATAAATAGCAGTTATAAAGTAAATTAAAGGAGTTGGTGTAATGCAATTCATATTAAAAGAATTGCAAGCTGCATCATCTTCTAGATTGAGCTGAGAACAATGCTTGGTGATTCATTTACTATCATACCATTTGGCAAGCCTTCTCCCAATGGCCAATCAACACTTTCAGGATCAAGTTTGAAAGGGT